TGAAGAGGTATAATTCTACTGTGGTCAACAAGGATAAGTGAGATAATGAAATAGCTCAAAATGATGATAACCAGATGAAGGTGGAGCTAGACAAAACTTGGACACAAGGATTCAGCTATATGCTTACATACCCCTGTAGCGAGGAGAGATTTCCCAAGCTCAGTTTCAGCTGATACTGCAAAATCACAGAAACGTAGAATTTAGCAGCTAGAGAATCATATGAAAGTGAAATCAAGACTTATAGATCAGGAAAAGCGAGCTCACCTTTTATAGGTTTTCCATTCAGGGAAGCACCTCCTCCACGAATGCCAGTAAAAAGCTATGAATAATACAACCCATCATATGGTGTCTATCTATGGTGATAAAAGAAAAAGTGTCTTATCTATGACTTACAAAATGACAAGAATTGGAGACTGTTAAATTGATACCTCAGAATTCTGTTAAATATGTTCTGGCAATGTGTTTTATGGTTTAAACCTCACAGCTTAGGTACAAAAAGCATTGTATTCTCACCTCTTCCATTATTGGATTGTAAACAACTCCAACTGTTGGAACCTTTCCAATGGTAAGACCAATGCAGACACAGACAAAGGGATACCTATAACATTGCAAAGAGAAACATTGAAAATGGGTGTGCAAACAAAAATAAAGAATAAAGCAGAATGGAGGTGAGGGACAGTACCCATGTACAAAATTAGTAGTTCCATCAAGAGGGTCAACAATCCAGGTTGGCTCATCTGTTAAATCTGTTGCACCACAAGCATGAGTAGTCTCCTCCCCAATGAACTAAGATGAAGACAATCACAAATCACAGCACATTCAGTACAAACTTTCTGGTTTCCATCATAATCCATAAGCAGATTAGACCTTTTTTTTTTTTTTTTTTTTGATACATATGATGAATTATACAAGAGGGGATAGCTATCCCTTACTCCCAATTCTTTCCCCACCTGACTAAAGGTTTGAACTTGAGATCTCCAGCTTGAAATCTCAAGATTTTAACTAGCTGAGCCACCCCTTTAAGGTACAAGCAGACTAGACTACAAACTGAGGATTATTACTAAATTTTTTCCAATGCAAGGAAATAAATAGAGCCAAGGGTTAACCTTATGAGTGGGATACTTCTGCCTGAGATGATTAAATATGAGATCTTCACATGCCTTGTCTGTTTCAGTGACCAAATCTATCTGGATTTCCAACAAAGAAAAGCATTGACAAGTCACAAACTCTTCTAGTTGAAGTGTAAATTTTTCCTAGGGGTCATAAAGGCAGGCTATGTTTTCTTCTACATTCCATAATCTCCAAATCCAGATCTGAAGATGACAAGCATTCCGTTAAATTTGCAATGCTAATAACATCATATAGCAGCAACAATACGGCACGACTCATCCAATCTATTTTATAAACAAGTAAACATGAAAATGGACTTGCAGATGTATAAGTAAAAGAGACAAGAAAATGAAGACAGGAAATAACCGGACCTCCCCTTTATGCTCCACATGCTTAGGCTGGTAGAAGCCTTTGCGGATTATCTGTAATCTCATAAAGCAGAACAAAATTAAGAAAAAAAAAATGAAATCAAGAAACCGAAGCAGTAATTTGGATTAAGACCTCGCCAGCACTCTTGGCTGCATCCACTGCAGTTGCCAAGAACTCTTTTAGAGAAGCTGTAGATAAGCATTGAAAAGACGAAATCAGATATAACAAAAAATAACATGAAATGAAATCGAAAACTTACATAGAGAAAAAGCGAATATTGGTACCGTCGTCTGCCATGGATGATGAGGAGGAATAGATTTGCTTGTTTGGTGGACAGAAGGTGGTTTTTCTTAATAATAATGATAAAAGAGACGGATTTTATAAGACTAAAAATTTTCGTCCTTTTGTATCAGTACTTTTTTTGTCCAATAAACATAACTTACGAGTTGCAAAGAGTCTTTAGGACATTGACAGTCAACAATGTCTGTTTCGAGCACAGCCAGTCTGATGAAAAGATTTGTTGAATTTTTGGAGAGAAGAAAAAAATAGGAACTTGACTAGTTTTTGTACGAAGAAAAAAAACTCCTTTTTTCTTGTCGTGTTGCTTATATTCTACCCGTAGAAATTAGGTGATAATCTCAAGATTAGGTGATTTATATCGGGATTGCCAAAGATTAGGTGATAATCTCCAGAGTAGGTGATAATCTCAAGATTAGGTGATTTATATGGGGATTGCCAAAGATTGGTGATAATCTCAAGATTAGGTGATTTATATCGGGATTGCCAAATATTAGGTGATAATCTCCAGAGTAGGTGATAATCTCAAGATTAGGTGATTTATATGGGGATTGCCAAAGATTAAGTGATAATCTCAAGATTAGATGATTTATATCGGGATTGCCAAAGATTAGGTGATAATCTCCAGAGTGTGTCCGTACAATTCTGGTTTTGATTCCAAATTACCCTGTTTAATAGGCAAAATGGAAGATTTCAGTAGGGGAAAATGTATCCAATCCCATTTGAATATATCATTATGTGATTTTTAGAAAAATGTAGAGACCTCAACCCTTATGCAATTATGCAATTCTTAAAGAGCACTAATCTTGACAATTAACTAACAAGACCACAAGAAGATTAACTTTTTATTTTAAATTTACTAGAGAAAAAATTTTATATTAATATCTCAAACAATCAATTAACTAATCAATGCAGTGAAATTTTCCTTAAAAACTCAACAAACATAAAATTTTTTATTACAAATCTAAACAAATTAAGAAAACTTGTAGAATGGCTACATAAATTTCAAAACAACAGAGAACATACCTAATAAGATCCCAGGAGCCTTGCCACCCAAGGAAGGAGAAGAAAGATGGACTGGGGTTCTTTCTTTGGGGTTCCATGGACTTTCAAACAGTGAGTTGAGTGTTTCAAAGCCTCTTGGTGTCACAACGTGAGTTGGGGAAACGGCTGATTGGATGCCATTGTAAACGACGCCTTCTTAGCATGTGGACTGGACTTGCACTGGAGATCCTTTTGGATATGCCAAGATGCTTGCTACTGCCTTGTTCCCA